CTTGGGATCATCGAGTCCAACCATCGACCCTACTCTACAAAGTTCTCCCCTACCAAGATATCTTTTGGTTTTAATAGCAAAGCTGAATTTAAAATGTTTATCTCCATTTTGAGGGCTTTTTATAAAGAATTCAGAAAAGGAAGGAGTTACTTTGAAAAGAACATGCCATCAATAATCTTCCCTTACATTTAGTTCTTGTGCATTACACTAAACATTCAAGAAAAGGGAATATGCAGGAAAAATGAGTGGGGAATTGGCTGCAACAAAGCATTTACCTGTACTAAATTGATCTATTCCTTAAAAGCAAAATTCTTCTTGCACTGAAAGAGTCTTTTTTCCGGATGCATTCAGAAAGTAAGACCTGCCCATACTGTAACCTATCAGACAAGCTTATACTAGAGCGGTGTCTGGCGCGTTCGGGAGGAAGCACAGCCCCAGGCAGCCGACAGCGCTGGTGCACGGAACCCTCTGTGACAGTGCCCTAACGCTTGCACGTTTTGCCAGCACTGACAGTGCTGTCACAGAGCCCGTCGGTGTGGAATGTTATCTGTGCCCCACTGTGCCCGCGTGGCTATCGCAGAGATTAAACCTCCTTGGAAGGTCTTGGGGCCTGTGTTACACACAGACAAGTCTGTACAACAGATTTTAAAATTTAGCATCATCAATTATATAACTATCTGTAATATATACATGGATAGTACCATCAGTTATGGACTGAGGCCTGATGGTGTGCCCAGCCAAGCAAGAACAAAGTTTTTAGTCCTACTTTTGAGAAAGTCCAATTTAACTTTCCCTGAAATCAGCGTCAGCAACAGTGGACTTCAACATACTTTGAATGGGGCCTTAAAGATAACTCCCCAAAAGCTTGAAATACACATATGTGATGTGGTTTTGATGTCATATTCATGATCGTGATTGAAAAGCTTTATCTGGACACTGAGATCACAGAAACAGAGAAGGAAGAACAAAGAAATTCTCAAGGAGTCATGTTGTGTGCCCTGGCCCTCCTGCAAGGTGGGCTCTGCTAGACCTGAGCTGCACAGTGCAGATGTTTGCCCCCACGAGCACTTTTCACCAGAGACTACAAGAGAGACAGAGGGATGACCAGAAAACACAAGAACTAGAGAAATAGGGGGTTTATGTACTCAAAAGGCTTAGAATGCTGAATTACAGTGTGTTCATATTTTCCTTACCTGAATTTTTTTTCTTTGAATTCCCCAGCAACAGGATCAATCCATAAAACAGAGAATGTCCTTTAAGGACCACGCAGCAGTTTCTGTATGAAAACAGAAATATAAATTAGGCAAAGGAATTTGGCCAGGGACAAGAATTATAGTAGAAATACACATTCAGACTTTGTCTAATTCAACTAATATCAGCAGAATTAGACTTTAAAATAATTTGGCCCCTATTATTACAATACAAAAAAATATATGGTGTATTTATAGCCTTGGTCTCTCCAGCTGTGTTGGTTTAGGTTTTATTACATCAGTAATAACAATTTATGTGATACTCTGAATAATGTGCTATTAAAAATTCAGTACAGTATATACTGTTACCCATGGGATTTAAACTGTGGGAGCTATGTGTATTATTCTCTACTTTGCTATTTGTATAGGAGTGAAGATTATTATAAAAATGGCTAGGCTATATACCCTGTGTGAATTCCTGCTCTGCTTGAATCCAGGCGAAGAGAGAAATAGTTCCGTTCAGACTGCCTTGGGGTAAGGGTCCCAAGGGTCTTAGTCTTGCAATCTAAGATTACACTGATCACACATTCAAGCATGAACAATAATATCAATGTGCTTTTTGATGTCTTTAAAGAATGCCAATAGATTTGTGAGGCATAACCTCCCTTAACAGAATCCATTTGATGCTTCTACAGAGAATCAGCTTTATCTGTGTGTCTATTGATTTTATTCTTTACAACAGTTCATCTAATTTTCCTGGCATAGAAGTCACATTGACAGTGTTGTAGCACCCCTGGAGGACTCTTTTGAAAGACCAGTGGCTAGGTGGTACATTTCCTATGTTCTGTTTTGCTGCCATTAGGATCAGATTCAGTGAAAAACAGCCCACTGGCACTAGCACTTCAGTAGCTGAATCCCTTGGTAGAAACACTGCACAGCTCCAGCAATTTGTTACTGTTTAGCTTATCAATTTCTCTTCAAGTCCTTCCTACCGACAATTCATTTGAGGACAGTTCCTCACACTCAGCCCACCTAATACTTGCTTCTTTAGCAAGGCAAAGAATGTTTCCAGCTTCTTAGCCACCTGAATGCTGCTCCTACACTTTCATCCTCTATACCTTTATTTAGTGTCTTGCAGGACTCCTCTGGTGATAGAATTTGAAAAAGTTTATATTATTACTTCCACATTCTTGGCAAAATCTTGCAATCTTTTTGGTCAGCTGTGTTGTGGTTCTACATTTAGTATGACAGAGTTTATGCTCTTTCTATGCTCCTTGCTTATATATGACTTCCATTTTTGAAGGAGACATGCATTTTCTTCCCTCAGATGCCACAACTGTTGATATTTGTGGATGGCACTGCCAGTATCCTTGCCATTATGACTCTGGGAGCAGGGCCCAGGTGAGGAGATCAGTAGAAAATAGTAATCACAGTGGATCTGCTTTCCGTTGCTCAGCCAGGTGGTCCATTGCATGTGACTAAGAGGCAGTAATACAGAGCATGGATCACATGGGTTAGTAATTAAGGCCAAAGCTTTCATGGTGTTTATTTTTACATTTTGCTTGTCTTTCTTGTTATGCTACATACATATTTGTTAGATTGGGGGAATATCTTTCTGAATACTTAAAAAAAAAAAAAAGGAGAAACTTAATTCAAAGTTTTGGAATGGTTCCAAAGTGTAACAGTGATTTTAAATTGCCAATCGTCAAAAGCTGGAAGGATTTACCAAGGAAGCAATCATCCCCTATGTACTTTGTTCTTCTATACTTTGTTAGAGCATCTGCTTGAATCTGGTGATGGAGCTGAGGAAGACTTAGCATCACAGTTCTTATTAATGAAGTTAAAATATCTGATTTCTATAACGTATTGAAGACAATCTGAGGAAAGCAAATGTAAAATATACATATTTGTGTCAGTTCTCCACCTTGTAAAGAGAGAAAATGATTATAAGGAATGCAATAGGATCTAGACAAATGAGTAGGGATTTCTGTCTCTGACACATTATTGCCTTATTGTTAGTTGAAAAATAGCATTAATGCCTTCACACCTGTCATGAGACTAAACTAAGAGGTATCTGCATACTACTTTGTGAGGGAGACCTGCATCTACATAAGATGAAGAACTGTGACGGACAATCAACTAAAAATTGCTTTCATAAACGTATTTATTTATTTCTCATCTTCCTGGAAGAGAGGAAGTGGTTTATCTCATTCCTGCTGTAATGAATGGCCTCTCTAGCATCCTCCCTCAGTTCTAGTGTATACATAATTCTGAAAGACTTCTCTCACAGACATAACAAATATATACTTTAACATGCTGTGATAATTAAGGTCCTGAATAATGTCTTTGTTTTGCAGTACTGTGGGGTAAAGGCTTTCAAACTACAGTACACAGGCTATTTTCAGGGGCTTCCCACAGGCAGCTCCCAGCTGTCTGTGCCAGTGGGGACCGGTAGCACTCCTACAACAGAGCACGCTGCTGCTGCTGCTGCATTGATGCTCACCCTGGCTTGTGCAGCACCAGTGCAGATGCAGTCATCTCATCATTCATTCACCTCTCTGGCTTTTCAAATGCCAGCATTTTCTGAATCAGGTAAAGGCAGAGTGGTACTTGAATGCAGAGGTAGAGAAAGGTGAGTAAAAGGACATGAAAAAGCAGCTAAGGATTAAAATTTGGTGGTGAGTGTGAACTAGGTGATTAAGGGATGAAATACTGGCAGGCAAGGTGGCTACAGCTGCAGGGGACATGCATCAGGTCCTAGCCTGAGGCAAGGAAGAGCACTGGTGGGATAACAGAAGTAGCCCATTTGCCCAATCCCAGAAAGCTCTGCCCTATTCACAGCAGGCAGCAGTACTGACAAAACTAAACATATTTACCACCAAGGTGAAAAAGGTTTAGGACAGATACAAGCCGAGGCATCGAGCATCTACAACACATGCCAACATAATCTACCAGAACTAGGCCAAGGTTTTGGTATCAAGTCAAATGACAGAAAATATTTGTAAATCAACAAAACAACGTGTTAGTCAAGTCAGTATCACATCCGATAAAACCATTCAAGACACTTAAGAGATAAGGAGTACAATATTTTTCTCTAGGAGACTCAATTCTTTGAGCTATTCAGCAACTTCATGTCTTAACACCAAGGAAAACAATATTATAATGATTCATATTGTAACACCTATGCACTTTCAAGCTAAACATATTGAAGACATATAGTCACTCAGTGCCTCACTTGCCTATACTGCATTACAGGGAGCCACTGGAACAAAGCAGAATTCATTAAATATTCCTAATTTATTCTGCCTCATTGCTCTTTTGTGAACAGGGTGGGTCACTAGAGAGCAAGGCGCTTAGTCCAAGAAGAGTATTATGAGTGAATATACAAAGTCAACAAGCTACCAAGGTAAGATTCCTCATTAGATACTGCAGTCCCTCAGAAGTGACAAAATAGGAGCTTCTGTTTACAGAGCACAGCATTCTCACAAGCGTTCACTCTCTTTTACAACTTCCCCTTGAAAAGTTTTTGAACAGCCAATAGTAGCATGGTTTAAATCCCAATCTAGGTCAGAGAGAAATTTTCAACCATATTTGTTTCCTTACTTTGTAGTTTCTCTTTTTGCCTTTTTTTTTTGTTTTGTTCAGGGTGTCAGGAACAATATTTTATTCACTTTTACTAGAAAAAAAAAAAGAGAAGAAGTAACATAGCAGGAAAGGTAATGATTAATCTATTCTGCAAGAAAAAAAAAAAAAGAGTTCTGATTTTGAACTTACTGGTGTTATCTAACCAGTATAAATAGAAGTGTAGTCAGAGAAAGCACAGGACTGAAAACTCATGATGAATTGTTAGGGCATGTTGAGTTGGTTCTGTCAATGCCTGCAGTCAGATGATTTCACTGGCTGTGCAAGATGAAATCTCATATTTCAATGTATAAGTAAAAGTGTCAAAGTTCAGCTGAAGCAGGGACGAATCCAGAACAAATTTTGTGTGTATTTGTAACTAGGGCACCAGAGCAATAGAGGAAGCCAAAATGAGCCGGAAAAGCAAAAGGAGTTTGAAGGAGAAATTTGCCTTGAAGAACAGCTTGGTTAAAGAAGCCCTCTCAGAATTCCTGGGAACTTTTATATTGATAGTAAGTGTCAGCTGCTTTCCTTTCTTCCTACTAATCTAATGTTGGACAGTGCTTGTAAGGGGACGCGTATGATTTTTCTTGTACTGTACCAGCAGCGTGGTTACTGCCTAACAAACATTGTACAGCCTTGAATGAATTGCTTCTATTTATGGTAAGTTTGTAATTCCTTTCTTCACCTGATGTAATTATCACTGGCTATTAAAAACAGGTAGCTTTATGTATTACAATTGCCTGATAAGTATTTGATTTCATGCAGGAGCAGAATTTCAGTGAAGTACCACATTCTGAGAAATCCAGATATGCACGATGAATGTTAATAATACTCTTGTTTTTGTTTTAAAAAACTCAGCAGTTTATTCTACTTTCACTTCTATTCATAACTTCCATTTGCTTTAGCAAACATACTCTATTGCACAATAAGAAAATTTTAGCTGAGTTATTTTCCTGCGCAATACAGAAATTAAGCTGAGTGATTTGTAGTGAGTTTATTGGCAGTTGAATTGCTGAACTTTCTGAGATTTTGTAAGTTAACTGTTTTTTGATTTGTTTTTAACTGTACTGCATAAGTTATACAGTTGCTTGGTCCTGTAGTACTGCTACAATTTACACAAATACCAAAACTCCCCATTTTCATATCCCTAGATTTTTTTAACTTAATTTCTTTCTTAATTTTTCTGTGTGTTTTGTACTGGGACACAGCCCTCTGGTGATTTACCAGGGGAGAGAGCAGGCTCAGTAGCAGAGCTGAAAGTCAAGCAGCTGGAGTATTTATGCCAAACTCTTTCTTTCTCCTTTCAGTTCGAACAAGACAGTCTTGCTTATTGCTGAATATTTCATCATAGTAAAAGGACAGAAAAAAATAAGAAGTAGGCATAGTACTGACATAGTATGCTTTATAACTGTAACTATATTAGCTAAATTTCAAGTAAGTAATCTAAAAAATTCCAGTAGCTCATAAAATACATGAAAATAATGGTCTTTACTACACTTCAGCCAGCTGAAGTGCACAGGCACTAAAGTAACATTATTCTCAAATTTAATACTATCCATAAGACATTATTACAGTAAGGAGCACATTTAGAAGCAAGGAACACAAAGCACTTTACAAACATTAATGAATTAAGTGTCACAACACCCTGGTAAGGAGGGGAAATGTCATTATCTTCATTTTATATATTAGCAAACCTGATTACAGCAGACTGCACAGGAAGCCTGTGGCAGAACTCTGAATATAACCCAGGTCACCTGACTTCCAGTACTCTGTCCTCGCCACAAGATCATCCTCCTCTTTCCATTAATACAATTAAGCAAGCAGAGAAAACGTATTAAAGTGCAGATTAGACCGCAAATGCTATTATTTAATGTCCTGCTGCACAAGAGTAGAAGGAAATGCAAACCCAGACCCCATTTTCTACTATACTCACCATATGAATATAGTAGAAAATGAAGCAACAAAATTGTTGTTGAAATCTGAGTTTCTCAATTCTGTCTTTCCATTTCTTGTTTCAACCTTGACTTAAGCAGAGAAGCGCCCCAAATGGATTAAACTGAAGCTTTCTCAGTGCTCGGCTACCTCAATTTATGTTTCAACTGCGCAAGTTTATTGTGAAGAAACTGACCTTTCTGCTGTTATTTATTGCTATTGCTTTTAGGGTCTGTCAGCTAGTAGGTAGTTTCTCTTTAAGAACAGATAAATATTAAACCCTTAACTTCAATTGGAGCTAATTAAAGGGGCGCCCTAGTGAGTCAGAGGGCAGAAATCTTTGAAAAACAGACACTCTGTATTCAAAAGAAGCAATAGCTTTCTTCCACCCTCCTATTACTATGTCTTAATCCTGTTACGAAGTGAGATGAGAGTTCACAGCCTACAGCACAGTTGATTCAGATCTTTGCTGAAAGCCATTTCATGTCACTGGGATGGGTTTTGCAGCCTGTGGGGAGCGCCTGCGACAGGGAGCAAGGCAGGGACCAACCATTACCCACAGGCTCTGTCTGGAAGTTAATGCTAATTAGCTGTGCCTAAATCTGCAGCCAACCTAGCACCAACCTTTGCCAGGTGAAATCCTGTACCCCTGAATCACCTATTTCTACTTTTCTGGAGAACGTCATCACAGACCACGTATTATTAAGAGCTTAAACTACCATCCTTGGTAACTCTCAAGCCTTGCAACATTATTTTCCAAACTGGAAATTGTACAAACTGCAAGATTAATTTCATGACATCTAGAAAATGAAATCACTCCTCAGGCAAAACCCAAGCCTTCACCTGGGTGTAAGAAGGGCTCTGCCTGCAATGTCGAACAGATCTGAGACAACAAGCCTTGAGAAAGTCGCTGGGTATACAGTTTGCATAACATCTCTTTGTCATCCTTACTTAACATGCTGTGGTTTACCTTGCAGCATGGTCTCAGAGCATGTAAACTGAATTCTTTTCAGGTGAAACTAAAGTGGAAGGTGAGCTCCAGAATCACAGCAAATGTGCTGACCATTGGTGGATGCTCAGTCTAGTGGATCAGACTGGAGATACTCCTAAGTAAACCCTCCAGAGATGTCCACAGCCAGGTTCTATGAACCAGATGCTTGCACTACATGACTTGATAATACAGCCATAGCCTGTGTGAGCCTCTCTCTCTGCTTAGAACGCACCCCATTCCAACCTCTGAGGGTTCAGTGAGAAACACTAATCCCCAGGAGCCTGGAAGTGCCCTGCTGTATGTGTGGATCCAATGGAATACAGAGCAGCTGCTGTTACTTCCTGTCTGGGTAATCCTGCTGGTCACTGGACTATTTTATTCTTAGACCTATTCTGCTGGGGGAACAAGTATTTCTTTCAGTATCTGAAGCATTAACACAGCTTCTCTAATTGCACTCTAGAACAAGAATTGGGGCAGAAACACCAAAATGCAGAGTCCACAACCAAATGCAAATTGCATGTGGGTTTGGTTACACTGAGCTTTTGGTTACTGCCTTGAACCATATCATATTCAATTTATAAGGTTCCACCAACCTGAGAAAACATTGCACTTCACCTCTTTTGTGATTTCAATAAAACAAATGGAGTGATGCAGTTTCAACATAACTAAGTTACATTTGCAGTACAGGCAATGAGGAGCACACATGATGCTGGGTATTTAGATTTGCAGATTATTTGTAAACTCCTGCCTGTTTCTTGAATTTACCTTGGTGCTGTCATGTGGTAAACCCCGAACCTGCAAAGTTCAATTGTATCATTTGTAATTTAGAATAAATATGCACAAAACCCACAATCTACCCATAAAGTTTTCAACGAACATTTGAAAAGGATACAACTGTTTTCCAGGAAACATACTGAGTGATGCAAGTTTCACACAGTGTGTTTGGAAACAACTTGTAGGACTGGTCCCTCCAGCCTACACCCATGCAATGGGTTCCTGAGGTGGGAGAACACCTGCCCGTTTGTACCATGGTGTCTGAGAGGCCAGTGCTCACACACATTTCCCAGTTTCTGACATGGCCTCAGCCTTTTGTAGCTGGGACTGCCCCGAGGCCTCCCTTGGAGACAGGAAAGGTTTTTGTTCTCCAACATGTTTCCTAGTTCAGTACATCTCCCCTTGGAGCTCCTGTGTGTTATTCTGGAGCAAAACATTTGGGTGCCAGGACAAAAGAGTAAAGCCATGATGCATCAAATAAATGGTTTGTATGACTTTTCAGTGAATCCGTCTGGAGCTCACCTCTCCAACTGCACCTCTGCTTTTAATCATGCTTCTCTCCATATTTCCCCTTTGGAACTTGGCTGCGCTGCTCTCAAACAAAATGGGATTTACTCTGCCTTACACCATTAAGCATATCTGAATTGGAACAGTTCCAAAAAGAGAAGCCAAATGGGCCATGTGGCTTCTTTTACCAGCTACTGCTCACCTAACATAGTTTGTGTTTCAATTTCACTCTTGAGAGCATCTCACTAAACATAGTTTCCCAGAAAGTTGCTGCACAGGAGCCAGTATCTCCTGAGTTCAGAGCAGAGTATGCTTCCTTGCTGAAACAGAGCACAGGCTTCCATTTAGCATATAAAGACAAGTGGGTAGTATATATATTCCTATCCCAAAGCTCAGACTCCAACTGGAGGTGGGGAGCACCTTGCAAAATACCCACTGAAGTGTTTGTGTAGAGCATGCAGTGCACGAGCATGAGTTGAGTTTATGAGACCCCATGCTGCAAATAGTCCAACTAATCAAAAGGAACGCTAATGATGTTTTGCACATCAAAATCTTTGACTTGTTTTCCTATTCTGACCACTTCATCATGTAAGTTATCACTTCTGCTTTGCTGCAGAATTTAGTCTTGGCTGAAAAATCTTCAAGTATGACATATGGATTTGCTCAGTCCAGAAGATAAAAGTCTAAACAACTATTCCATATCTTTTTTTTTTCTGGGCCAGTTAATTACAATACTGAATAGTTATATATATATATATATATATCCCTTATTCAAAACATGCATTAGAATACAATACATGAAGTTATTACATGAAAGCACACGTAGCTTTTGATCATTTACTCCTTAGATAAGTGTCTAACATCTTAGATAAGTGTTTAGCAAAATTACTACTTAGAAGTTTTAAACAAAGATAAATTCTGTGGTCTAAATTTTGTGAAAGGTAGACTCTTCCTTTGTATAAGATGAAATTGCTTACAACGAGTTTTCTTAAGGTTGAAAATTAAATAGCAATAGCTTCTAACAGCTACCTTGTTTGTCATCAATAATGAATTTCCCAGAGTACCTAATTTTGCATAATTAGCTTTTAGACATTGAACTTAAGTTTCTCAAAGCTAGATAAAAAAGGTTAGTAAAACGTATTTGTGTTTTGATATGTTACTCAACAGCTTTAAAAATATTATATAATGCTACAAATACCATGGGTCTTAGCAATGTTTGTGCTCTGAAAAGCAGCTCTCATGTCACAGAGATCCGTACATCAGGGCCTGTAGCAGCAATACTATAGTACAACCAGTAATTAATAG